AAATTAGCAATGATTTGTAATTAAATGCCGAACTAATAGCGCTGCAAAACCCTCCTAGTAAATTGTCAAGTCGGATTATGCCCACTTGAATTAAACTATCCTAAATAAAATTGTTAATTAACTTGCAACACTGACGTTCTTTATCATACGATAAGTATGGTGTTAACCAAGATTCAGCATCTTCCGCGTTCAAACAATCACCTGTAAGGCTAGAACATTAATGGCCAGGTAAAAACATGGTCGGGATTTGATTAACCGGATTATAAGTCGATTTTTTTTAGTCGGGATTTGATAAGTCGGATTTTTTTACGCCAACCGCATTTTAAAGTCAAGTCAGGTCACTGATCTATGACGTCATAAATGAGCAGTCCTAAAATGAACTGTGTGAAACTTGAACATTTTAGGACTGTGCTAAAATGTTCCAACTTCGCAACACCCTCAGTGCAGAGCTTTCATAGGGAGATGAAACTTACAGGATCTTATAGTATGATCGAGAGGTCTCACACCTTGTATAAATGTATATCTAGGATTTTCTGAAGGGTCGCCTGAGATCAGGTCAGTCTCTCACCATTAAAAGTCAGGGGAATATGGAAATTGCTAGTTTGGTCCGGAAATGATATACAACTATCTCAAATGCTCAAGCACACGGAATCGTGATTTCATGCGCTCCTTGCAAGGTCTGATGCTTCAATTTTGCTTTGTTGATCTTGCGTGACGTCATTTATCACGTAACTAAGGCTATCAGTTTTTCGTCAATAACTCCCGATCAACTAAAGCTACCGAGTCGATAAAGCAACTAATGGACATGAAAAGACCTGCCGAATCGATTGATATGCAATATGACCTCCTTTGACCAGCTTCGTGACCTGACGGGCTGTGACCTGACCTTGACCCGAGGTTAACACCTTAACTCTCGCCCGTATTGGTGTTTTTCCAGCCTCAAACGTATAAGGGTCCGTTGGACCTCCCCCCTTGCCGTTTCGCCCCTGATCGAGCTAGAGCTTCGCGGAAAAACGAGCGTGTTGGCCGTGACGAGAGGAAGTCGATGCTACCCAATTTTAAGGTCCTAGGTCATCGGTTGACTTTCCAGGTCAGGTCAATGACCCAAAAGTCGGGGAAATCGGGACCTGTTAGAAAGTCGTAAAGCGTGGCTGCTATGGGGTTTTCGGGGTGCTGATCACGAATATTATGTTAGTTTTGATCACAGATGATGTCTTCATGCATTTAGGCCAGGTCGGGTCAGGTCAGGTCAGGTCAACCAGTAAGGGTATTCGTAGTAGGTGGCAACCGCCTCTGACAGCTTCGCAACATGTTACGAGGGCACCAAAACTACTTCGTAAATGTTCATATGGCTGCTAAATTCGAATTCAGCTCCTAAAACTAGCCTAGAAACATGTAAAACTCGAAAAAGTAAACCGAGGTCATCAAAGGTCAATGACCTGACCTGACTTTCCGGTGACCTTGACACCCACCTTAATGCATGGAAGCAAGATCATATCCCATGTTTGAACGCTTAAAACCACGAAAAGACTGCAAACGCGCCGCTAATGCGAGCCGACATACGCCGAATCGCGATTCCGGCCAAACATGGTCTCGAAAAGTAGGTCGCAGGTCAAAGGTCATTAAGGTCAGGGTCACAATTTCAGGGTGGGTGTAAAATTGAGTAACGCGAGGGTACTGAAAGTTTCGTCGCGATCGACCGCTTTTTACGCGAGTTATTCGCGAAAAACCGAGGGAGGGGGTCCGTTCGACCCCCCCCCCCCCCTATACGGACGAGGGTTTGATCTCACCCGAAGAAAAAGTATACCATTCGACACGCCTGAGCTTGACAAACACGATGCTGCTAAAATCGCGGATCTGCGATCATTTTTAGCGAAGTTATTTACCAAAAACCGAACCTGTGCCTTGGGCCACTTGACCTGACCTCCGAAGTCATCGGCTGACCCTGGTCCTTAAATCGGAGACCAATCGCTGCATTTCGTAAAGACGCACACGATCGTTTCTTTCGTGAGGCTCTAGCTCAATTAGGGGCGAATCGGCGAAGGGGCTTGTTTCCTCACTTCCAACCCCCAACGCCCCATCGGTAGGTATTCAGAAAACCTGAAGGCCCGGTGAGGGTTAAAGCGTTTCTCCTGAACGAGGAAGAAATGTAAAAGTCAAAGCTCAATAGACGTCCTGTAAAAGTGGCCATGATAATAAATTCGTTAGAAATAAGATGCTTTTTAATCGACTTCCTCATATAAAATCGGGTGCTGGGACCAATCTTATAAACGCTTTAGAATGGACAGGGTGTCACTGGCTAAAGTTTGGGTGCAGAAAACGGCTATTACCTAAATGCAAAATGGTTTTCATGCATTTCAGTCAATTGTATATTGTCGGTCCCAGTGGCCGAGCTAAAAAAAAAATCGGTAGTGTTTTGCATCTTTTACGCCTTAAGAAACTACACCATCTATCGAAGTGGGCGGGCTTATTTGAATGGGAGGGCGCATTACGCACGAATCGTGTGCTTTCGTTTATTTTGGACTGTATTTTACCACATCCACTGCTGGTATCACTATTAATATTATCTAATGCCGTGAATACGACAGCATTCCATTTATAAGATTGGGCCAATGGAGTCGCGCCCCGCGAGCTCGGTTTTCCGCTGGGCCGCAACAGGCCAGGAAGTCGGTCTTCGCCTGAGGGCAGGACAAAGGTCAGCCAGGTATCGCCAAGTGCCGAGCGAAAGCCGCTCCCTCCCCTCTCTTCCCCTCTTCTCCCCTCCCCACCTCGGTATAGATGGGGAGGGACCGAACTGCCAATGACATGCGAGCGGTCAAGGCCGCTCGCGCGGCAGCGACCCTGGCGGCCGGGTGCCGCAACTGGGATTCAGCCAAGTTACCGATTCGCCTCCTGTGGGAGAGCCAAACCAGGGGACATACTTTTTAGATATACTGTACGTACAACGTACAAGGCAAGATAAGGCAAGATAGTTGTGAGTGCTTCGTGAGCTCAAACTTAAATTCTCCAATAATTGAGTAATGCCGTATATATATATATATATATATATATATATATATATATATATACAAGGAAATTCAAGGAAATTCAAGGAAATTCAAGGAAATTCAAGGAAATTCAGTACGTCCACAAGGAAATTCAGTACGTCAAACAGATGCTTGTAAATAATGGTTACACCTGCTCCGAGATAGACAGCGAGATCAAAGCACACCTAGACAAGCACTACAAGACAGCTGAACCAGACACCAGCACAGACATACAAACGACACCTGCCCAAGACACCAGCACAGACAGGCGATCTGACGGGTCAACTGTAAACCAGCCAGAACCAGCACGTGACAAAACCAAGGTGCACAAGTTGTACTACAGGAACCACTTCTCAGACGCATACACTGAAGATGAGCGCGTCCTGAAAAAGATAATCAAAAGGAATGTGGTACCAAAGGAAGGTCACGAAGTTAAGCTGCATATATACTACAAGTCCCTGACATCATCCAGCCTGATCATGTGCAACAAAGAACCAGAGAGCAAGCTCAAAGAAACAAATGTCGTGTACAAATATCAATGCAAAACCGGAGATTGCAAGCTCCGCAACACGGCCTGTTACATTGGGCACACACGGAACACTCTCTCACGACGGCTCACCACTCACCTGCACACCAGCGGTATCGCCGAACACTCGAGGAACGTCCATGGAACGGAAATCACAAGGGCTGAGCTGGTGGAAAACACCAGCATCCTACAACGTGAGTCCAACCCCAGACGCCTAAAGATCCTCGAAGCAGCCTACATACAGGAATATTCACCGATTATGTGTGACCAGCTCGAGCATAGGGGCATCATCACTCTAAATGAATAAGTGCTTGTTCAAGTACAAGTAGGCACTTATTCCAGAGTTCCTGTGCTTCTCCCGCCGGAAGTCCAATGACTGTGACTTCACGATTTGGTTAGCTTATTGTTTTTTCAAGTGTGTCCTTTTTTACCCTGATAGCCCATCGAACGTCGCGAAACTGTAATTAGAACAATTAGATATGAAACAAATCATGATTTATGTATTTTATTCAAGTAGACAGTGCGATCGTTAGACAGTGACAAGACGGTGTGTGTGTTATGTGTACTTACCTGAAGACGGAGAACGCTTCTCCGAAACGCGTCGTATAATTGAAAGTGCAAACATACATGAATTTTACAGATCTATGAGTCTTGGGGAGCTTATACATAATCTCCCAGAATTACACAAAAAGACAATCCGGAGGAAAGAAAAGCTTTCTAAGAAGAACGTAAAAGCTAAGTATGCTATCGTTTTCAATCAAACATGTCTACAAGAAAATATACTGCCTGCTTACACGAATATATATATATATATATATATATATATATATATATATATATATATATATATATATATATATATATATATATATAATGGGTGTCCTCATTCTTCGCCAAAATGACATGCTTTTATGCGTGTTTTATATTGGGTCTGGTATAAAAGCAGATGGGACCAGCCAATAACGGTTCAACATCACTGATGAACGCACATGTCACGGAAGACTGTCATAGTGACACATCTTTTGTCTTTACCCATTTGCCGATGCCCTGATTATAATGCACTTAAAGGGACTATCCCACCTTCAACATGGGGTTTGAGTTGAGATAGCCAAGTTTGCGGCGAGGTTCAGAAACCACTATCTATCTAGGTTTCAACCCCCGCGGCCTCTTGGTGTTGAAGAAATTCGTTCCCTTCATTTGAAAATGGGCCTTGTACAAGGCCCTATCTTCAACATGGAGCGACCGTTAGTGTGACGTCACCTCGTTTAGTCATTCTGATTTAAATGGGTTTGTTCGTTGAAAAATCGCTTAAAACTTGGTCTGAACTTTGCTGTGGTGCCTACAGAGTAAAAAGAATCAGCTTTATGACAGTAATGTGGCCTGGGGAAGGAGGTAATTTTGGGCTGTGACGTCACATATTTGAAAGTTTGTGTTTGGAATATGGGAAGCCTAAGATGTTTAATGAAAAATAAATGCCAGAACCGTGTTCCTGGTCATCCAATCTATAAAGTCGGGCACAATTTAACTGGTTTTAACAACATTTTAGAAGGTGGGATAGTCCCTTTAATAACCATTATTGAGCCATACTACGCCTAGCCCCGTATGAGTATCACTTCGATAACAAGGAATGATGGCCACTGGTCACGAGACGACAGAGCACGCACCATGCTCAGAATTATTCACCCACTGCTGGCGCTCAGACGGAGATCTGGCTGAAGTCCGTGATGGTGGTATACTGCTGTCGATCGACCTCGCTAAGTTCGGCGTTCCCCGGCCTGATGGCTAGATTGACTCTCATGCCGGCCTCCCTCGCCGCCACAGCTTCTGTAAGACGTCGACAAAATGCAGTACAGAACAGGGCTTACAGACTTACACCTTTTCGGCAACAAAGTAAATCAAATAATCTCCTACCGATGTAAAAGACAGCTAGCATACGGCTGTTCGAAAGTCACATCCGAAGCACTCTAAACTCAAGCCGGAATTATGGACGGGAGATCCTAATGGCATTCAGTGGCAACTTCTGCGACATGCTAGCATAAGATTTTCACCAGACATTAGAGAAGAAATTAAGGTCCCATTAGATGATTTTTAATGTGCATTGTAGTTTGTACTATATGACGAAAATGATGCTTTGCTAAATGGGAATGGACATTAGGTCTGACTCTGAGCAATACATGAGCGGTTTTTGCCAAACACAAACCATAAAACGTACGGATATCATCAAAACAAAACAGAGATCGATCTGTTGTCTACTCTCCTTTTCTTTGTTTTTGTGTGCCATCTTTCTGAAGGGGATCAAACAAAAGCTTTCATTGATATCAATTTAGTCTAAGTCAGACACATTGGACAAGGCAGATACCTTTTAAAATGTCGGTGACGAACAGAATCTGTTCTGGACTGCTGCCAATGGCGGCTGCAATCTTGCGGTAGCTCTCCACTTCAGTCTTTGGCCCGGTGGTCGTGTCAAAGTGACCACTGAAGTGCTGAAAACGATTTACAGACACCAAAACATTAGTGACTCATGCACAATATATTATGATAGCACTGGTTTATCTCATTGCAACTGCGAAAAAAAATGTTTTTTATGTTTAGCAGTGCTCCCGTCAGGGTTGTGCTTGACTCATGAGTCGAGTCAGAAATTTGACTCAACTCTGACTCAAATGAGTCAGATTTGAGTCGAGTCGGATAAAATGTTGAGCTGTTGAGTTGAATCAGAGTTAAGTCGGACAAAAATATTAAGGTGTTGAGTTGAGTCAGACTTAAGTCAGTAAAATAACTTTTGACATTGAGCTGAGTCAAGCATTTAGAAACATGAGTCAGCTGACTCAACTCTCAAGAAACAATTTATAACATAAGCTTTTCACCCCCCCCCCTGCTTAACAACTTAGCCCTTGCCCTGCTGCCTGATTCCCCCCCCCCCCCCCCGCTCAACAACTTTTTTATCTGAGTCAATTTTGAGTCAACTTACTTGACTTGAGTCAAGTTTGAGTCGATTCATATTTTCATTGAGCCGCTTGAGTCATGAGTCGAGTCAAGGGAAAAATCAGCTCCTTGTTTGAGTCAGAGTTGAGTCAGGGCTTTCTAAAGTTGAATGATGAGTCGAGTCGGCAATTTTTTTTTTTTTAGTCGAGCACAACCCTGGCTCCCGTCCCGCACAGTTAATTAAGCCATATACAAGGAAACATGAATGAAAGGAAGTATAAGTGTAAAAATGTTGCATGAAGTCACTGACCAGAACCGTTTCAACAAATGCTAACCTTCAACAGCGAACCGTGTTCTGTGTGGCCAAAGAGCAGCTTCTGGGCGGCGATGCTGCCCGACGAATAGATCCACACAGAGATATCCTGTCGGTTCCATTGCTCCAGTGCTGCAGGCACATCTCCATAGACACTGCAAATGGGCCGGGCAGGATTTGAGGATCATCGGCTTTCGATTAGGTCAGCATGCAGTACTTGCAGAATGCGCCTTGACGAGGTGAGTCGGATAAGGGCATCATACGGAGATGATACATCAGCAGTATGTTGACAATGCAAAGTCAAATGGCGATTAGCGCACTTGCAGCGTCGTTGTACAGAAGTCTGTTCTTGAGTCATCTAACACAAGGCTGAGCTGGCGAATCCCCTATGTCATGGCTTTCCATTGAAGGTCATACCTACCTTACTTTATGCATAAATGTTTCGATAAACGTTATTGCAAAAGCACTTCTACATGCGATGCATCAACACAACTATAAAAACTATTTCATGTAATCGTGCATGATTCAACAAAACTCGGTTAGCGAGTTTTTTTCCTCAGGTGAAAGTGAAAAATAAGACTTTTACTTATCTATATACTTGGCATTTTAAGCGGAAAACAGGAAAACGGCCCACTATTAGATCTCACCTGTGATATGTGATGACAGCCAGCGACATGCATCACTCGGCAACTTCACTGTGCTGCTCCCGGACGCTGTTCAGGCCACCCAAAGCGCGGCTGGATAAATGTCGACGGCATGTGCTCCCAAACACACACGTGCGTTGCTGAAGTCGACGGTCATGTCAGCATTCGTACGTCTATGCGATTACTTTTGCATGCAACATCAATTGCATATGCGACTGATCAGGCCGGATCTCCAATGCACCCAAAATGAGGCACCCACTACGGGCCTACATGACCATGTTTATACGAGTGCGGAGTCCAGGGCATCGATAGATCGATTTGAGTCTAAAAATACGAACAAAAAAAATCAAATAACGTTCTTTCTTACAATTGTGCAGTGTCATTTGGGCAAGTATTTGGCCACGACGTTATGCGACATAGATGGAACAGGAACTATAGGTACAGTCGTGTACAGGTTGATGGTCCCCTACTCTTTATCCACCGGGTTCCTATGGCTCAGCATTGGCAGCAGCCGCCTGGTACCGGTAGGCTGTGCCGCATGACCCGAGAGTGAAGCGGCACAGTCTACCCACGCTGTTTGACATCGGCTCGGGTCGCCGGGTGGAGCGCTTTGTAGACCAGCTGTCGCGTCAGACCAGCGCGGGGGGAGGGGCTCGTCTCGGTGGTTGGCGTGGGCTGGCGAGTGGTGTGGGGCGCGTTGGTGGACCGGGGGGGGGGGGGGGCTGGGCGGGTGTGTGTGGTCACTTGCTGCATTGCACATTTTGCGTCAGTGTAAAATTTTTCCGGTATTAGCCTGGAAAATCACAGTTAATGAAATCTGCTAATTTTTCATCCTGGCTCATAATTTTCATCTTTCAACACAAATGCACCAAATCCTTATTCAAATCGGTTAAAATGTCCCAAAATAATGTTAGAAGGTTAAAAACTGCACCTATCATGAAAACCACAAAAAATATACATGATAAATTATACGCACCTTCCTTTCCAATCAGCAATGATAGTAATGACACATGGAAATATCTCAGCACAGTGTATGTATCATGCGCTTCGTGATTGCCTCGATTAAAAAAAGAAACAGAACAATAAAAAGGTGTAGGTAAGTGCAGATAAATACACTCGATAATACAATATTATCAATCAAATAATGTCTAAAAATTAAAATTAAATTAATTTATTGCTTTTGTATAAACATTCCCTGAAGAATTGCATTAAACTAGTTCTACAACTGAATGATGAAATTAGGATGAAAAAGCATTAAAAAGGCCAGGCTGAGGATGAAATTTTCCAGGTAACCGCGGGGATCTCTCACGCCTTCATGAAGTTTCCAAATCATCTGCTGTTTGGATTAGCATGTTAAATGGATCGTTCTCCATGTTTGCTGAAGATATAATCGAAAAATATTGAATATTAGGGAAATTATAGCTGTTTTCTTACAGTGTCCGAGGATGAAAAATTCTTCGATTTTTAGTCACCAGTCGAGAATGCTTGTAGGGAGTCTAGTCAATATTTTTATGACTGTAATGCATTTTTTTAGAAGATAATACACTGGACTTCGTTATAAGATACATACAAACTCTTAGATTGCTGTTGATATAAAAATATTGCCTTTCGAAAATGAACAAAAATTTCATCCTCGGACTGGTGTCCAGGCTGCAACATGGACGCAAGCTATCTCATGATTTGATGAAAGATATGGCAAATACTATACATATGTGACAGCCTCGATCATTTTTGAACTGTGTGGTGCAAGTTTCTTCCGATTTGATGCCATGCAGGCTGGGTAATGTCTCGAGGGAAATTGCACCTCTTACGGTGTCGGGGGCCGGGTTCGGTTTAATGCAACGCAATTATTTAGTAGCCGCATTTGCTGGCGCCAGCGTGACAAACTACGGCGCAAACAACGCGTCGCGTGCCTTCCGTTTTCAGAGAGGGTAATGATCAGGATATATATCAGCAACGTAATGATAATGCGTCGCTGGGTAGCTCTCTGAAACCTGGTAGGTATTTTTATTTTCAGAATTATTTTAATTTTACATTGTGAAGAAGTTTTTCACCTTCAACTCGAGCACTATCCTCTCTGATCAGAGAAGATGGTGCTGATTGTTGCTTATAACTTGTGAATAATGACCATAGGTCCATACTGATACGATGAAATTTTAGCCCATTTGCTTATATTTTCAACGTGTGCCCATCTAAAACAATGTTTCAGCATTTATTTGATGAGTCTGTCCTGATTAGTATCTTTTCAAAAAACTGGCCCATTTCTGCTTGTACCTGGATACCTTCTTACCCAATGACTCGGATATGATGATATCAGACATGCAGTCTTGTCAAACCATGTGCTAGGTAGCTAATTTTGAGAATGAATTGACTGCAGGAATATTCATAAATATGTCACTTACTGTAGATCATTCTTATTACCTATGAATAAGACAGCAACTTGAACTACATAGTTATCTAGCTGATCAAAAAGGTGGATGAATGACATAGCACCCGTTAGTGTAAAAATCATCATTGCATGTTAAGATCGGTCAATTTTTTCATCACTAACTGGTAAAAAACAAAACTTTTTTCATCTGCACAGGTAACGGTGAAGTAAAAATTTTACACTGTTTTGCGTCGCTTAACAATTGCATTCCTGTTTTTGCTAAGGCACAATGCACGAAAGACCCAGCGAATATAATTTACTTGTGCATTGTGCAAAACGTGATTTGGCACGGTATCGAGGCAACCATAGGTCTTGTGCCACATATATGCATGATATTTAGGCAATACGCTCATGAAAATGGTAGATTGATCGGATTGATCCTGGATGTCAATTCGTATGCTAAATGTCGACATGTATTAAATGAGCGAATGAATGAATCAATCAATCAATCGACAATCGACATGTAGATATAAAACCGTATAAATGGCTCGCAACCACTAAAATCAAACCAGATCCTAATTCGGAAAAGTAGCCGGAGCCCCGATGAGGCTCGAACCGGGACTCCACGTTGAAAGTTTTGCCAATGATCCATCATCATTCCACCAAGCTAGAGCGACCGGCACCCGAAACCACAAAACATTCATCGACTTTGCTGCCGACCTCCCGGCCCCGCCGCCCGCCCGGCCAGACTTTGCCCCGGCCGTAGCCACCATCCGGTGTAGCTCAGCGTAGGAGTGCTAGACTGTCAAACTGACCGGTAGTGAGAGGCCCGGTTCGAGACGCTTCGCGTGCTGGATGTTTATTTCTGTGTCCGAGGCTATGCGATTAGTCCACTTTTCAGAAAGATTATTTGGTGACAGGTCTGTTTTCTTTCTTTGCTGCAATTCATGAGGAGACCGTATGGACCCTTACCTGTCCTTCCGCACCCCACTTGGGAGATGGGTGTTTGAACCCCCCTGGGTTTTGTGAATATCTCTAAAGCGAATTTTTGGAGGGTGGATTACGATCGGTTCTACGCGACAAGTGACCGCTCACACCCAGCCCCAGGTCCGCTCACTCCCTCCCCACATCACCCCCGCCCCACACCACACTCCAGCCCGCCTCATCCACCGAGCCGAGCCAAATAGATAGGCCTGACCCTTACCCCCCCCCCCCTCCCCCCAGCCGGTGTAACGCAGCGTCCGGTCAAATCGCTCTACCAGGCGACCCGAGCCGGTGTCATACAGTGTGGGTAGGCTGTGCCGCTTCACTCTCGGGTCATGCGGCACAGCCTACCGGTACCAGGCGGCTGCTGCCAATGCTGAGCCATAGGAACCCGGTGGATAAAGAGTAGGGGACCATCAACCTGTACACGACTGTACCTCATTTGAGATAACAGAAAGCTGAAAGCCGAAGTCCACTTTACTTTACAATGAAAGCTTAAGTAAGGTAAGTAACTTATAGGTCCAGGAGAGGTCGCATCGTGGTGATGTTGAAGCTGCCCATCCTTTTCAAGTGTGAATGTCTTGTTCTGTAGAATATGACTGACTGGAAAGCACATCCAACACATTAATTCATGAACTGATGTGATAAAGTTGCACTACCGAAGAAAAACTTTACAGTGAAAGCAAAATAAAACAAAAAGGCATAAAATAAGAATTAAACTCATCTACGTGGGAAAAATGATAAGTTTTAACGTTTATCGATGCCGCACATATCTTCATTGGCGTTTCTAACACGTTAAAATGTTTTGTTTGGCATTACAGATTATTTGCTCACTTGACGAGTAGTGTGTAAGTTATAAGCAACAATAATCACCACTAAATCGTCACATCACTTTTCGAGGAAAGCTGGGAAATTGTTGGAATACATGCAGCATGCAATCAAAGATTGATGCAGGCAGTTACTAAGCGTTAGTTGCTACGCTTAAGTCATCATAACATGCAAAAGCCCTCGTTTTCAATTTTCATCGGTTTAGAAGTCCTCCTAATCAGTTGTTACAGACCCCAATGGAACTCACTGTCCAATAATGTGGCCGTCAAGGTATCCCCTTGTCCAGATGAGTCCCTGAAGGTGCTTCAGGGCAGTAACTTTACGGTCGGCATCCATCAGGGACAGCACGTACCGACGGATACCCTCTCGCAGCAGGGCAGGGTCTGATTCAGCTGCTGGCAGTGTCACGCCGTCGGCAGACGCCTGTCAAAAGACAAACAGTCGGCCTAATCCGTCAACCGATACATTTACTGTGTAATAAGTCGACTAATGAAACGATGCTGTCGGTGAAATCGAGATAAACGACTAGATTTTCCAAAGGCAGGCGCATTGGGGGTCCGGTAGCCGGAGTGAAGCGTACATAGATGTCGCTTACAATAGATTCGCAGATGGCGCTCGAGACAGACCTGCTCCCCGTATTCCGATCAGACATCAGCCCGGTTGGCGGTTAGCGGTACCGATTACCGATTCAGCAACCGTGGTGCAACATGCGAATAGACATCTGCCCGCCAGAAACGACCAACAAATTTATTTTGAATCTTAAAAAAACATCCATTGTGAGCAAAGAACCATGGGCTGACAAGGCCAATTCAGCAGGCTAGATACAGATTACAGATGGTTCAATCATTGCCTCGATGGCAGAGGAAGCATGGGATAGAATTGTTTAATGTTCATCCACTTTCTATCAGTTCACCTGTTGTTGACTAACAAAGTGAAAGATCAAGTTATTTGGCCTATAGCACCAAGATATACCTATGATGTCCTAACCAGCACATTTCTCTACATACCTGATCCCTTAGGAGGTTGACGATGGTTGAACAGTCTTCTGAACCCCAGTGCTCAGTGAGAAAAGAATCTAGATGCTCCCTTGCATATGGAAACAATATATCCTGCAAGAGTCATACAATGTCTACAATGATAATTTCAAACTGCAACAGGCACATACAAACGTTATGGTTGACACCTCTTCTCATCAAATAACATTGAGCATGTCAGATGTTTTTAGCATGTTATTGTACAATTTGATACCCAAACAATAAAACAAACATAAGCATTGAGCAACGATGCACCATACAAACCTTCACAAAGCTGATGGAAGTTGTCGTCCCCTCAATATCCAGGATAATAGCATTTAGCTTTGAGGCCATGTTCATTAGTTTTCACAAGACAAGGCAACTGAAGATAATATGAACATAAGAAAATGTCAAAAGAATCACACTTGTGCAAGACACTGTGAAACAAGGTAATAAACCTGAAAAGGTGCAAAAATGTCAATATGGAAAACATTGATGCTCCATAAGTATTTCAATTTCAAATTGAATTTTGAAATTTGTTAGTTAAGGCTGTTGAATGTCGACCGCAATTCAATTATTTCAATTTATGAATGATCATAAGACCATTCTTCTTTATCGTGCTCTCAACAATCAAGCTCAAGTCATGCTCTACAAGTAGCAAAGATAATAAAGCATTGTACAGCTTAAAACTGCTCGATACAGTTTTAATTGAAAATAAGCAGCGAGGAACAACTTCATATAATTTCAAATTAATTTCGAGAAACGACGAGGACAGACAAGCACCACGCAACAAAAGGAACAGCACGTGAAAATGGCGCTCGCCTTCTTGCGCCAGATATGCAGCGAATGCCAATATGGTAGCAATGGAAAAATTATGTGACAGTAAAGAAATAGCCTGCAATCGATCAATCATTCACACTTGTTCATTGTCATTTATGTTCATAAGGAAAATTAAATAGAATGTCTTTCAAGGGCGGATCCAGCCGGCCGTCTTGGGGGGGGGGGAGGGGGCAACCCGTTGGGACTAGCCAAACCTAGGGTACCCCGGTTTACCCCCAAATCTACCGGGGTAGCGGTACTACCCCCAAATCTAGTTTTCTCACCGGTTTTAGGCCACTTATTTTTCACCCTTCGCCTTTTCATCGAAAAAAACGAAACGAAAACATTTGCAAAAAGTGAGATATTTTGTCTCAGCTGAGTCAAGGAACTACCTTTTTGGTAACGTAGAATAAAGGCTTAAATCTTCCACATGAGCTGTCGAGCCAGGTAAAGAGGGGGATTTTTTCTTAAATGTTTTCTTCCCTTTAGTTTTCCTTTGTGACCCACAACCGCTAATTCAGGGAGGGCAAGCTGCCCCGACGGTTCCTAGCCCTATGAAAAGTTGTGGGGCAGCGCCCCCACGGCCCCAGAGTTGTGGGGGCAGGCTGCCCCCACTGACCCCCAGCTCCCGCGCCCATGACCACAAAGTTCAGGCCCATGGCCCGGCGCACACTGGTCGGAAACGCCCTCACGAGAGGCCACGGGCGATTCCGGAGTTTCGGATTATTTTTTATATAGATCGATTTGAAATTGATCAAATTATTATACTTAGGCCAAAAAAAACTAATCCGGATGACCAAAAATAGCTGTAATCAGCCCCCGAAGATGGGGTATCCCAGAACTCGGAAACTGACGCGGAGCAAGAGGTTTCTTGAGCCGGATATTCAGAGTCTTATTGCTGATAGACACCAAATTGAAATCCCACATATTATGCATCAAAATGTTCGTTATGAAGTTGCCGACTGGTTAGTGCAAAATTTTTGGTATACTTTTTCCCTAACTAAGATGTACTATAGCTTTTTTATGAAGGCTCTCCTACAGTGATTCTGGAATATAACTGCAAAGTTTAGGTAAGGAAACAACAGGTAGTCCCATCTAGTTCCACTCTGATTTTTTGTGAGATGAAGTAGGATTTAAATTTACACCAGGGCAACATAAAAGCTAACTGCGCATATTTGCGCAAAATTTGCAGGAGCCGCTCTTCCTACCCAACTACCGCCCTCCCCGCCCCAGTTTCAGCTCGGCCGCCGCGCCCGGCCTACGCTGACCTGTGTGGCCTGCACGCATCCATGCGTAGTTGACTGGTCATTAAAAACAGATGCGCTTGAGTTTATGAATTTTGTGAAAAGCGCGTTTTATGTATGCATTTATGTATGTATTGACATCAAAAGCCTTCCACATATTGCGTGGCGATTACGGCTTGCATTTAGAGAGCTTTGCTATTGACAACCATCACTCGGCTGAAGAAAGTGGAAATTGAAACCTTCATGAATATAAGACGCTGCAAATATAGGACACCTGTCACTGACGTCGGGTTACCTTGGGCCGTCTTTTTACATTAGATCACAATTCCGGTATTTAACTCTGGCCGGACCGATTGGTTTTCTACATTGACCGGGGAGGGTTGGTACAACTCCCTCGCCGTTTCGCCTCTAATTGAGCTAGAGCCTCGCGGAAAAAACAAGCTTGTGTGCCGTTATAAGACGCAAAAATTAGGTACTACCAGATTTTAAGGTCTTAGGTCATCCAGTGACCTCTTAGGTCAGGTAAGTGCCACAAGGCACGGGCTCGGTTTTTGGTTAATTACTTTGCCAAAAATGGTCGCACTGCCGCGATTTTGGCATAATCGTGTTTGTCTAGCTTAGGCGCGTTGAATGCTATACTTGGTGTTCGGGTGAAGTCAACTTAACCCTCGCCGGCACAGGCCATTTTGCGTCCTTCGACGGCACAAGGGGGGGGGGTTGGTTGGTACGACCCCCCTCGCGTTTGGCCCCTGATCGAGCTAGAGCCTCGCGGAAAAAATGAGCGTGTTGCCCGTCACGAGAGGAAGCCGATTAAGGTCCTAGGTCATCGGGTGACCTTCCAGGTCAGGTCAATGACCCGAAAACCGGGAAAATCGGGACCCGTTAGAAAGTCGTAAATTGTGGCTGCTTTGTGGTTTTCCGGGGTGCTGATCACGAATATCGTATTAGTTTTGATCAGAGATGATGTCTTTAAGCATTTAGACCAGGGGTTTGACGTGACCAGGGGTTAGGGGTTGTGACGGGTATTCGTAATACGTGTCAACCGCCTCTGACAGCTTCGTAACATGTTACGAAGGCGCCAAAACTACTTCGTAAATGTTCAAATGGTTGCTAAATTAGAATTCAGCTCCAAAAACTAGCCTAGAAGCATGTAAAACTCGAAAAAGTGAACCGAGGTCACCCGAGGTCACCAAAGGTCAATGACCTGACCTGACCTTCAGGTGACCTTGACATCCATCCTAATGTATGGGAGTAACATCAAGTCACATGTTTGAACGTTTGAAACCACGAAAAGCTTGCAAACGCGCGGCTAATGCGAGCCGACATACGCCGAATCGCGATTTCGGCCAAACATGGTCACGGAAAAGAGGTCACAGGTCAAAGGTCATTGGGGTCAGGGTCATGCAATTTTCAGGGTAGGTGTAAAATTGATCAATGCGAGGGTACTGAAAGTTTCGTCGCGATCGGCCGCTTTTTACGCGAGTTATTCGCGAAAACCTTAGGGGGGTTGCATCACCCCCCCGCCCCCTGTGCCGGCGAGGGTTAAGGTGTTAACCTCGGGTCAAGGTCAGGTCGGAGCCCCTCAGGTCACGAAAATGGTTGAAGGAGGTCATATCGCATATCATTCGATTCGGCAGGTCTTCCTGAGTCCAATGGTGGCTTTCCCGACTCTCTAGCTCCATCTGATCAGGAGTTATTGACGAAAAACTTACATGGCCTTAGTGACGTCATAAATGACGTCACGCAAAGTCAACAATGCTAAAGTCAAGCACTGGACCTTGCAAGGAGTGCATGAAACCATTCCCGGTGCCCGAATAGCAGCTCCCAGTTTCCCTTGTTGACTTAAAGTGGTGCTAGATCCTGTATTATACTCAATTATGACGTCATAACTTAACAGATTCACGTCATATATTTAGTGCTTGACATCCAAATGATAGCTTACATATGACAGAGAAGGTATGCAAAGTTTTATGAAGTTTGCTTCACTAGTTGTGGAATAACAAGCAAAAAACTTTTGCGGAAAGGCCGCTGGCCTCTCGCTGGAGCGTTTCCGACCAGTGTGCGGCGTCGAGCTCAAATTCAGACTCGGCAATGTTGATGGTGTGTCCGAGTTCAGACAAGCTGAGCTTATGCTGGGTTCAGCTAGGACGATTGAAGAAATGAAGAGGTATCCTGTTGGGCTAAATGCCGGACAATCTCAAGCTCTAATTTTGCATTTAATGCTTAATTATCCTACTATGTTGAGTGAAAACTACCCATGTGTCTTTAAGCATAACTTCAAATAGTGGGTTTAGTTAGTGACATATGGTGGAGCATTAGGGGTTTTAGGGGTGCACTGCACATGCACCCCCTAACTGAATAAAGCACCTTCTCAAAATGACGCTTGAAACACTTCAAAAACAAGTACAGGTAAGGGGAAATTGTGTCTTCCTCTGTTAACCCTCCCCCGTATAGGGGGAGGGGTCGAACAGACCCCACCCCCCTCGGTTTTTCGCGAATAACTCGCGTAAAAACGGCTAATCGCGACGAAACTTTCAGTACCTTCGAGTTAATCAATCTTGCATCTACCCTGAAACTTTAATTACCCTGACCCAAGTGACCTTTGACCTGTGACCTATTTCTCGAGACCATGTTTGGCCGGGATCGCGATTCGGCGTATGTTGGCTCGCATTAGCCGCGCGTTTGCTGTCTTTTCGTGGTTTCAAGCGTTCAAACATGTGATATGATGTTGGTCCCATGCATTTGGATGGGTGTGAAGGTCACCTGAAGGTCAGGTCAGGTCACTGACCTTTGATGACCTCAGTTCACTTTTTCGAGTTTTACATGTTTCTAGGCTAGTTTTTGGAGCTGAACTCGAATTCAGCAACCATTTGAACATTTACGAAGTACTTTTGGTGCCTTCGTAACATGTTACGAAGCTGTCAGAGGCGGTTGACACGTACTACGAATACCCGGCAGGACCACTACTGGTTGACCTGACCCGACCTGGCCTAAATGCATGAAGACATCTTCTGGGATCAGCACTAACACGATATTCGTGATCAGCACCCCGGAAAAGCTCAGCCACACTTACGACGCTCTAACAGGTCCCAATTTTCCCGACTTTTGGGTCATTGACCTGACCTGGAAGGTCAACCATGAACCAATGACCTAGGACCTTAAATTGGGTATCATCGTCTTCCTCTCGTCACGGGCAGCACGCTCGTTTTTTTCGCGAAGCTTTAGCTCGATCAGCGGCCAAACGGCAATGGGGGGCAACGCCCCCCCCCCCCCCTATACGTTCGCGGCTGACAAAACGCCAATACGGGCGAGGTTTAAATCCATATACATTCAGGCATGAGACAAAAAAGCTCCTGTTTAATAGTGTTAATGAACTATGAAGAAGCTTCAGCTTTTAAA